GTGGGCGGGGGGGGGAGTGCACCAATTTACCCGGAGATCTGTTTTCCTGTCCCATAGCACGCTCTCACCGCGCGCCTGTACCAGCTTAGAGACCTCCTAAATTTACCAACTTTGCCCATCGACTACCCTGGCCTTTTCCCTCTCGCCGCCCCCACCTCTTTGAGTGTACGGGGGGTGTTGGCGGGACAACCACACGCTCTGAGTGTCTTGCCCCCAGACTACGCTGGGGCAGCGACGCATAATCCCCCAGTCGCCCCTTGATCCGTCCAGGTTTGAGGGAGCTCCAGGCTTGTTGGAGGGGTGTTTTCGCTGCTTCCCTGGTGGACAAATCGTACACACCCGCACACGCACCCTCCCCGGCGTGACTGGAAAGGGGTCCTCGCTGCACCCTGGGCCGGCTTCCCAAGCTGAGGCTGGGTCAGCGGGAACTTGAGTGTAGGGAGAAGCGGGCCCCTGCCTCTCTCCGCACTCGTCTCCTCCCCCAACTCCGGACCCGGGTAGGGGATGACTTGGAAGAAGAATCTGCACCCACCCCTTAGAGAAAAATCTATTATTATTATTTTAATCTACTCCCCCAAAGTGTCCCTCGCGCCGTGATTGACGGCGCATACACCTGTTCCTCTCGCCGAGGCGCTTCCAACGCTGGGGACGGACGTTCGCCCAAATGCTCCGCAGCGGCCCTGCGCCAGTCCGCCGTCCTCTCCAGTCCAGCCCCCGCCCGCCTCCCCGGAGCGCCCCTGCCCGCACCTTGCCACCCCAGCGGCCACCCCCTCCCCTCTCAGGCCGGATTCCCCAGCCCGCCCGCTCCTGGCCGCTCTGGCTTCAGAAAGAGAGAAAGAACAGAAAGCAAAACTTCCTGGCGGCCGACGGCCATCAGCTGCACATTCTGCAAATGCCACCGAGTAAAAATAAACCGGCCGCCGCTCCGCCCGGCCGGCTCACCCCGGACGCACGACTCGGCCCCCAGCCTCGAAAGCTCCCTGCCTATCGGTCCCGCCGATCCCCCATTCCCGCGCGCCCCCTGGAGCCCCGCTCCCCTACACTCTTCTGCCAGCCACCACGCGCTCCCTTGCCCTGAAGCTCGACCCCAAGTGACCAGGTGACCCGGCCCTCTCCCATTCGGTGCCCCCATGCGCCCCACAAGCCGCTTACTCTTCTCTCTGTCCTCCGCCTGGTGCCTATTTCAGCCGCGCGCCCCTAGACTCAGGGTTCCCTTTCCCCAAATGCTGAGCCCCGAGGTCACCCTCAGGCCATCCTCGGGGCACAGACCCCGCCAGACCTCTTCCACCGAGCCCCCTGGGAGCGCACCACTCCACCCGTCCGCGGTCCCGCCAGCCCAGCGTCCCATGTCCCCAGACGCAACTTCTCTCCCAGCGCACACAACAACCGCGGCAACTCCCCCGAACTTTTCCCGGGACTCAGGCGGGTTCTGGCCAACAGCCGCACCGTCCTGAGCCGGTACCCCGGCTCTCTGTGCCCACCACTGCCAGCATTGAGCCCGGGGAGGCTGAGGTGGGGGTGGGGGTAGTGAAGAGAACCACTTGCCGCACCCGAAGCAGCGCACTTGAGACAAACTTCCCAGGCTCAAATGAAAAAGGGGACGCCGCTCCCCCATCGAAGCAACCTCTTGCCTTCGTTTTCCCACCCGGAGACACCCCCTTGGCACTCTGCGCCTAACTGAACACTGCCTACCTCTGCTGGTAGCACCTACACTCTGGTATTGGGCACAAGAGTCGGCTCAAGGGGTTCCCCATCCACCCCTTCCCCTGAGCAAAGTCTTGCAAAGTCACCCCAGACGCCCCTCACCCCTGCCTCCTTCTCTGCCCTGGAGAGCTCACGAACCCCTGCAGCTGGGGGTGGGGGGCCGTAGGGGGAAGGAGTGATTACCCGGTATTGGTGAGCACCCGTCCCCCCCCCGCCGCGGGAGCCCGCGGCGCGGGGGGCGCCCCCACCCTATCTGCAAAGTCCTACACTCGTGCCTGGCACCTCCCCCTCTTCTCCCCTACCCCGCCGCCCCCTCAGTTAGAGTAAGTGACCCCCAGGAGCAGCAGCCCTCCCCTCCCCCGAAGCCGCGCGCTGGGCATTCCCCCTGGCCACAGTGGGAGACGCGCCGCCCCGCGCCCTGGTGCCAGCCCTCCGTGCCCCCTGCCTCCCGCACGGCCGGAGTTGGGTGGCAGCCGCCGCGCGCAGGCTGGCTGGCTGGCTGGCTCTCTCGCTCGCTCGCTCGCCCGCTCCCGGCTGCAAGCGGCAGCCCTGGGGGTGGGGGGACTGCACCGGGACAGGGGGCGAGGCGCGGAAGCACCCCGGGAGACCCGCGGGGCTGAGGGGCGTGTGGGGAGCCGCGTCGAAGGGAGCGCCGAGTCTCTTACCTGCACTTGGGGCGGCTTTGGGTGACTTTCCAAGTCCGGGGGAAAAATGTGTGTGTGTTTGGGATGGAGCGCCGCGGGCGCGCATGCGCTGCCCAAAGTTGCCGGATCCCGGATTTTTCGCTCCCAGTCTCCGCTCTCGCCCGCTGTGATTATGGAATTCTCCGCGGCCGAGCGGGCGAGTGGGTGGCATGTAAAACCCGGGCCGGATCGCGGGGCCGGGCTCCGCTCCACCCTCGCACCCCCAGACCTTCCCCTCCGGGTTTCTTCCCACCCACCGCCCGGTCTGAGCTCGGCTTGCGCGCGCCCCGAGGCGCGGCCTGCCAAAGAGCATCTGAGCACACGGCTCCCTTTTGCGGCTGGAGAAGCTTTCTACACTGTCCAATTGAGTGGAGCTGAGGCTGGGGAGAAGAGAGACGGGGTGGGAGTGGGTTACTTTTCACCTGTTCTGAACCCCAGAGAGCCAGTCGGCTTGCCATTTTTCCTGAAGAACTAGCGCTTTTTTGCGAGTTAGAATGTTAGGAACGTGATGTTCTCACTGTTCCATATCCGCTTTGCACTTATTCTTTGCAAGGGAGTTTTTCATTCAGTCAGTTGTGCAAGAAATAAATCCTTAAGTGAGCAAGATAGGCCCTGAAGAATGAGAGGAGGGAGGGTGTGCAGATAATGAACGTTAAAACGAATAATATTTCAGAGAGCGAAAAGATCCGTGAAGAAAATAAAACAAGGCACTAGGATGAAGAGTATCTTGGGAGAGCTAATTCTTCCTCCCCAGATGAAAAGAAAAGAGCCTCTTTGAGGGGGGACTTTAATAATCTATTAGAGAAACTTCTCTTTTCTCCCTTGGCCCACCCTGCCACCTCCTAGTTGATTTAAGGTGGCCACCCCAGCCTGGAGGTCAACAGTGGCCCTCTGCCTGATAGCCCTCTGTCCTGCCTTTCTTGGCCAGGCAGCCCCCCATCCCAGGACTGAACTAGTCACTACCTGTTTTCCCTTCTGAACAAGTACAAGATGCAAATAACATCAGACCTGAGAGGAAGGAGGAAACACTCAGAGGGCGAGATAAGTGAAAAACTGACCACAATAGTAAACTAAACAGCTAAATGATTAGTAGAATAAATGAATAAAAATTCAAAGTAGACCCACAACTTTGAGAAGTAGTCAACAGAATTCATTAAACTAAGCAAAATGCCACAGGCTGTTCATTATTGTTGAAGGCTGGTAGACTTTGGGGCCTAATCTGCAAGGTTTCAGCAAAGCCTCTCGGAACTGGAATTGACCAGAAGCCTTGTATGGTAATTGTCCAAGAGAGACATCTGCTGGGATGCATTCCATGCCATGCCTAAGCTGGAAATTAATCGGTGAATGGATAGAGGCTTGAGACTCTATGGCCCCTGTGGGCCTGAGGTGGCCGGGACTTGCCTTGTCCCCTAAAAAACCTCCAGATTTGGGGGAGGAGGCTCACGCTCCACACACTCTTTAGATGTTGAGTGCCCTGTGCTTGTTTTAGCCTGGCTGGGAAGAAACCAACTCAAAAACAGAGCTTGTCTCCTTACCACCTGGACTGTGTCTGGGATCAATTTGGAATTTGTCCCCATAAGAAGACCAGAGTTAGTGGTGAAGCACATCTTAGGTTCATTTCGTTTTCTCCCCTCCTTATCTCCATAATTAACAGTCCCCGTGGACCACTGGCCCATTGCTCTCCATTGCCACACACCACCCACTGCTGACCTATAGACCCTTGTGTCTGGTGACTCAACAGAATGCACAGCCCCAAAGACCTCAAGTCCAATCCTGCCATTCTGCAGAAGGAGAAACTGAGGCACAGTGAGAAGTAGTGACCTGAGAAGTGGAAGGAAGGTCTTCTAACTTTTGAGTGGGAGCTTCTCCTACTCCCGGGCAGTATGAAGAAATAGTTAATGGCTTGGGCTTTGGGGTCACACCCCAGCCACTTATTGGTGGGTGACCTTGAAGAAGGCGTCTGACCCCTCTGTGCCTCAGTTGCTTCAACAGTAAAATGGGAAGTAATGATAGTACTTCCTGCCTGGGCTTGTTGAGAGGCTAAAATGAGGTAATGCAGGAAAAGTGCCTGGGCCAAGATAGTGATCGATAAATGCCAGTAATTGTCATAGCTCCTTGGGACATCCAGGGCTCCCTCAACTTCTCATTGCTTCCTGTCCTCTCTTCCTTCCTTCTTCTCCTCTGTCCTTTCTTTTTTTTTCCCCTCCAGCAACAGCCAGCACTCATCCATTCATTCAGCAGGCATTTGCTGAGCCCTGGTGAGGAGCAAATCCTTACCGGGCTAGGGAGACAAAAATGAGCTAGACAGGCCGGGCCTCTGAGGAGCTGGCTGAGGAGTTTGCTAGTCTCTCCTCTCCCCACTCCCCTACTCTATGTCTCCCCTCCGCTCCCCCACACCCCAGCAGCCACATCATACCCACCAAACTTTTATTAAAACATTTATTCTTCCCTCCATTTGTTCTCAGATACTTCGCAATTCTCCCATCCCCCAAGGAGTCTTTCTCCTCTGAAGAAACCTCACTGGGATGGGGAAGCTGGAAATGGTGTCAAGGGCTGAGAGGAAGGAGGAGAACATTGGGATGTAGCAAAAAGAAAGGCTCTGCTTTCTTTCCAAACTACCATCCCTAACTCAAAGAAAAAAAAAAATTAAAACAAAGCCAGGGGCTAGGAGAGAGCACCACACCCAAACAACAGCCTCTGGGCTCTTAAGCCTCTCAGTGCCTTGTTCCCTACTCCCCAGCCCTTTATAGGGACGGAAATCAGAGATGCTCTTTTCCTCATTTGCTTCCTTTTCGCATTTTCTGAGCTTTCCCTACAATAAGACAAACTCTTTCCCATGATCAGCAAGATCTGGCCATTGCCTGCCTCTGGACCGTACCTTCTTTCACCCTCCGCTCAAGTCACATTGTCCCCATCACACAAGCTTCTTGCTGTCCTAAAAACCACCAAGCTTGTGCCTACCTCAGGGCCTTTGCACTTGTTCCCTGTGCCTGGAATGCCCCTTTTTGCAGCTGCTTCTTTGGCATCATTCAGGTCTCTGCTCACTGGTCACCTTTTTAGGGAGGCTTTCTCCCTAAAGTACCTCCCCAGCCTTTCTCTAGCACTTTATCCTGTTTGAGTGGCTACCATGATTTTGTTTATTCATGTGTTCCCAGATTTCCTGTCCAGCTGCCCCTGCTAGAATGGGAACTCCTTGGAGGCAAGGACTTTGTTCTGCGTCCCCTCATGTCCTTGGCACCTCAAATATTGCCTGGTACATAGTATGCCCTCACTCTCTGGGAGTAAGACACTGAATCAAGATAAGCCTACATGATCCCCACCCGGGAGGGGTCTATGCTATAGGGGAAAGCTCCTAGGACAAAGTTTGGGGGAGGGAGAAGAAGCTGGTCCAACCCTGAAGTTGCCAGGTTGGCACGGTGCCTTTGCAGAGTTTTCTACTCCCTGGCCTTCTGCCAGGGGTTAACAGTGGGGAAATACATGGCTCTAATGAACTGCATCCCAACAGGGGAGGCTGCACAGTGAAGAGGGGAAGTGGGGTCAACTAAAGACTCTATCGAGGTACCTATCTAGCCCCCTGCCTCCAGGTGGGCTGCATATGATCCAGCCCCTCTCCCATTTTTGTCTCCAGGGAGACTCAGCCCCCCAACCCTCCCACTAGACTGTGAGCTTCCTGAGGGTAGGGTCTGTGCCTTTATGGCAGAAGCCAAGGAGCCCAGCACAGTACCTGGCACCCAGGAGGCTCTTGGTGACTGACGGCTGAACAAATACATTTAAGTCTACCTGTTTATGTAATTGGGAAAGCCTTGAAAGTAATCACAGTTCAGCTTCCTGGTCAGTTTTTGATTTCTAGTCCTTTGCAGTGATGGAAAGCAACGCCTAATTGTACACTAATAGCTGTTATTTACTAAATGGTGATCATGTGCCAGGCAACAAATACTTACATTATCTTATTAGACCTTCACAACAAATGTTCAAGGTGGTTGCTATTATGAATATACCCATTATACAGATGAGGAAACCAAGGCACAGAGAATACCTTTCCCAAGGCTGAGCTGGGCTGTCTGACTCCAGAGCCAATGTTTTTCACCCCCAGGACAAGCTGTTTGGAGGGGGGTGGTGACAAAAGCCTTACTCTCTGACTTACCCCCATGCAACAAGCATTTTTACTTTTACTCCAAGTTCATAAAAAGATGAAACTTGAATGTGAGTGCATGGGGAGAAGGGGAGGGAGGGAGCAAATCAAATCTGTCCTTTAACTGTAAATCTTATTTCAAGCTAGTAAAAGACAAAAGGAACCCAAAACATTACAGGACGAAGCACCGGATTTTGTACACAGTAAACAATAAATGTTGACCAAGAATCACTATTTTTAAGTTTAAAAATTATAGACGGTGCTTGTTTTCTTTCTTCCTCCGTTGCTCCTGGTTTGGAGGTTCTCCTTGGGCAAGGTCTGCGATTTGGGGGTTCACTGGGCCTAGCGTGGAGCTACTAGCATCATAGTCAATGCTCAATAGACGCTTAGTGACAATAGACAAACAAATGCTCTAGAGAAGTGATTGTGGTGATTACTGGGCAAGTTGTAATTAAAAAATAAAAAAAAAAGCTGAGTGCATTTCTTTTATTTACGAATGTCTCTCTCTTGGGAGTCCTTGGGAAGGGAGAATGAGAGAGGGGCTTTTTCCCAAATGCTAAGCTGGGGTCCCCAACCCCATTCAAGTTGATGAACTTGACAAGTCCTTCTACCGCCCCCTTCACCCCCCCACCCCACCCCCCCTGCTCCAAAATTCCCTCATTCTTTTTGCAAAGTACATGATTATTTGTTTTTAACTATATACACAATACATGCTTATTGCAGAAAAGTCAGAAAATACAGATAAACAGGAAAAAGAAAATTTAAATCGTCTGTAATCCCACCACCCATGAACAATCACTGTTGATGTTTTCATGTATTTCCTGCCAGTCTAGATTTTTTGTTTGTTTTTTGCTTTTCGCTTTGTTTTGTTTTATAAAATCAGAGCCACACTGAACATACCGGTTTTTTGTTTTTTTAAGCCTGCCATGTAG